CAGTAATCAGAGAAGAAAAGGAAATGAAAGGAATCCAAATCGGAAAAGAGAAGTAAAGCTGTCACTGTTTGCAGATGACCTGATACTATACGTACAGAATCCTAAAGATGCTACCAGAAAACTACTAGAGCTAATCAATGAATTTGGTAAAGTTGCAGGATACAAAATTAATGCACAGAAATCTCTTGCATTCCTATACACTAATGATGAAAAATCTGAAAGAGAAATTAAGGAAACACTCCCATTTACCACTGCAACAAAAAGAATGAAACACCTAGGAATAAACCTACCTAAGGAGACAAAAGACCTGTATGCAGAAAACTATAAGACACTAATGAAAGAAATTAAAGATGAAACAAACAGATGGAGATATATACCATGTTGTTGGATTGGAAGAATCAACATTCTGAAAATTACTATACTACCCAAAGCAATCTACAGATTCAATGCAATCCCTATCAAACTACCACTGGCATTTTTCACAGAACTAGAACAGAAAAATTCACAATTTGTATGGAAACACAAAAGACCCCGAGTAGCCAAAGCAACCTTGAGAAAGAAAAACGGAGCTGGAGGAATCAGGCTCCCAGACTTCAGACTATACTACAAAGCTATAGTAATCAAGACAGTATGGTACTGGCACAGAAACAGAAATATAGATCAATGTAACAGGACAGAAAGCCCAGAGATAAACCCACGTACATATGGTCACCTTACTTCTGATAAAGGGGGCAAGAATATACAATGGAGAAAAGACAGCCTCTTCAGTAAGTGGTGCTGGGAAAACTGGACAGCTACATGTAAAAGAATGAAATTAGAAGACTCCAAAACACCATACAAAAAATAAACTCAAGGGCTTCCCTTGTGGCACAGTAGTTGAGAGTCTGCCTGCTGATGCAGGGGCACGGGTTTGTGCCCCAGTCCGGGACGATCCCACATGCCACGAAGCGGCTAGGCCTATGAGCCATGGCCACTGAGCCTGCGCATACGGAGCCTGTGTTCCACAACGGGAGAGGCCACAACAGTGGGAGGCCCGTGTACCGCAAAAAAACAAAACAAAACATAATAATAATAAACTCAAAATGGCTTAAAGACCTTAATGTAAGGCCAGATACCATAAAACTCTTGGAGGAAAACATGGGCAGAACACTCTATGACATAAACCACAGGAAGATCCTCTTTGACCCACCTCCTACAGAAATGGAAATAAAAACAAAATAAACAAATGGGACCTAATGAAACTTAACAACTTTTGCACAGCAAAGGAAACCATAAACAAGATGAAAAGATAACCCTCAGAATGGGAGAAAATATTTGCAAATGAAGCAACTCACAGAGGATTAATCTCCAAAATTTACAAGCAGCTCAAGCAGCTCAAAATGCAAAAAACAAACAACCCAATCCAAAAATGGGCAGAATACCCAAAGAGACATTTCTCCAAAGAAGATATACAGATTGCCAACAAACATGAAAGGATGCTCAACATCACTAATCATCAGAGGAATGCAAATCAAAACTACAGTGCAATACCATCTCACACCGGCCAGAATGGCCAGCATCAAAAAATCTACAAACAATAAATGCTGGAGAGGGTGTGGAGAAAAGGGAACCCTCTTGCACTGTTGGTGGGAATGTAAATTGATACAGCCACTATGGAGAACAGTATGGAGGTTCCTTAAAAAACTACAAATAGAACTACCATACGACCCAGCAATCCCACTACTGGGCATATACCCTGAAAAAACCATAATTCAAAAAGAGTCATGTACCCCAATGTGCATTGCAGCTCTACTTACAACATCCAGGACATGGAAGCAGCCTAAGTGTCCATCAACAGATGAATGGATAAAGAAGATCTATACAGATATATACAGATAAATATATCTTTATATATAAAGATATATACAATGGAATATTACTCAGCCATAAAAAGAAACGAAATTGAGTTATTTGTAGTGAGGTGGATGGACCTAGAGTCTGCCATACAGAGTGAAGTAAGTCAGAAAGAGGAAAACAAATACCATATGCTAACACATATATATGGAAACTAAAAAAAAAAAAAAGGTCATGAAGAACCTAGGGTCAAGACGGGAATAAAGACTCAGACTTAGTAGAGAATGGACTTGAGGATATGGGGAGGGGGAAAGGAAAGCTGGGACGAAGTGAGAGAGTGGCATGGACATATATACACTACCAAATGTAAAATAGATAGCTAGTGGGAAGCAGCCGCATAGCACAGGGAGATCAGCTCGGTGCTTTGTGTCCACCTAGGGGGTGGGATAGGGAGGGTGGGAGGGAGACGCAAGAGCGAGGGGATATGGGGATATATGTATACGTATAGCTGATTCACTTTGTTACACAGCAGAAACTAACACAGCATTGTAAAGCAATTATACTCCAATAAAAACGTTAAAAAAAAACCCCACAAAACTAAAAATAGAACTACTGTACAACCCATCAATCCCCCTACTGGGCATACACCCTGAGAAAACCATAATTCAAAAAGAGTCATGTACAACAATGTTCACTGCAGTCTATTTACAATAGCCAGGACATGGAAGCAACCTAAGTGTCCATCGACAGATGAATTGCTAAAGATGATGTGGCACATATAAACAATGGAATATTACTCAGCCATAAAAGGAAACAAAATTGAGTTATTTGTAGTGAGGTGGATAGACCTAGAGACTGTCATACAGAGTGAAGTAAGTCAGAAAGAGAAAAATAAATACCGTATGCTAACACATATATATGGAATGTAAAAAAAAAAGTTTGAAGAACCTAGGGGCAGGACTGGAATAAAGACGCAGACATAGAGAATGGACTCGAGGACACGGGGATGGGGCAGGGCAAGCTGGGACGAAGTGAGAGAGTGGCATGGACATATATACACTACCAAATATAAAATAGGTAGCTTGTGGGAAGCAGCCGCGTAGCACAGGGAGATCAGCTCAGTGCTTTGTGACCACCTAGAGGGGTGGGATAGGGAGGGTGGGAGGGAGATGCAAGAGGGAGGAGATATGGGGATATATGTATATGTATAGCTGATTCACTTTGTTATAAAGCAGAAACTAACACACCATTGTAAAGCAATTATATTCTAATAAAGGTGTTAAGAAAAATATAATGGTCTGGGGGCTTCCCTGGTGGCGCAGTGGTTAAGAATCTGCCTGCCAGTGCAGGAGACACGGGTTCAATCCCTGGTCCAGGAAATCCCCCATGCCGCAGAGCAACTAAGCCCATGTGCCACAACTACTGAGCCTGCACTCTAAAGCCTGGGAGCCACAACTACTGAAGCCTGTGCACCCTAGAGCCCACGTGCCACAACTACTGAGCACACATGCCACAACTACTGAAGCCCACACTCTCTAGGGCCCACGTGCTGCAAGTACTGAGCTGCACGCTGCAACTACTGAAGCCCGCGCACCTAGAGCCGCCCTCCGCAGCAAAAGAAGCCACCACAATAAGCCTGTGCACCACAGCGAAGAGTAGCCCCTGCTCGCTGCAATTAGAGAAAAGCCCGTGCACAGCAACGAAAACCCAACGCAGCCAAAAAAATTAATTGATTAATAAAATAAAAGTAATGGTCTGGGGTTTCTTAGCTGAATATGAAAAATTGAGAAGTAAGTGGGGGTAGTGGTCAATGAGGTTGGAAAATAGAGAGGATTTGAACCAGTGGCTGAAAGGAGAGGGAACTGTGGACAAAAAGCAGAATGCCTGAGCTAGTGATTTCAGAGGTGGAGTCGTTGCTGTGATGAAAAAGACTAGAGGAGAAGATCTTTGGAGATATTTCCACTTTTGCAGTTTGAACACCTTCCCCTGGTGGAGATGAGTACATTTGCTTTCTATCGTCATTAACCTTACAACACCTTCCCCAAGGGGGTGTTCATTATCCTCCCGAAACAGAGCAAAAATTAGCGTTTTTAGTTCTCTTGGATTTCAGGCACTCTGATCTGCCTCTTGGACTTCCTGTCACTTTTTCATCCACCCTTGAGTACATGTTCCTCCTTATGGGTCCTTTTATTTTTTTTAACTTTTTATTTTATATTGGAGTATAGCCGATTAACTATGTTGTGATAGTTTCAGGTGCACAGCAGAGGGACTCAGCCATACATACACGTGTATCCATTCTCCTTATGGGTCCTTGTAAACACTGAGCTCCTGAGAAATTCCACCATCCTACCACTCTGAGTCTGTAAATGTCTTTTGCTCATGTGTGTCATAATAGGCTAGGTTATTCTGTGCTAACAAAGGACCCCAAAATCTCAGGCTGGAAGGTATGGAGGCACTAAAACTTATCTGCATTTTACAAATGAGTAAACTGATCTTCAGGGTGTCTGTAAAACGTGCATGGCCCTCAGCGGGCAAAATCCTAGGAAGACGACACTTATATTTCCGCAAAGGCTACACCTAAACAATTAAATGCTCTGAGTGAACGCAGTTGTGCTTCCAATTCCTCTGGACCACGATGCACTATGCAATCTGCGTCTTTATGCTAGTGGAGAAGTGCTCCCATCCAGAACTCAGTAACACCCACCCCGGGGCTGACGGGGGCGCTGGATGTAGATAGTGACCAGGGGCCCCATTCTAAATAGTGTGGAGGCGAGTCTGCTTACGACAGAGATGGCCAAGCAGGGGACATAAAACAGGAGAGACAGTGGAGTTCTCCGGGTGGGGTCCACGTTCTGTCACTGGGTACATTCTGTACACACGAGTCCCTCCCTTGCCTGCACTCAATTCATGAAGACTTGACTTCATCATGGAGGGGTTGGGGAAAGGTGGGGTCTGGCTCCGTGCGCCCCAGCCGGCGTCCCCCGCCCCGCGGCAACCCCTCCCAGATCAGGCAGAGCCCTGGACGAACCCCAGCGGGTAGAGAGGCGGGGAGAAGCTGCGGGGTGGAAGGCGGGGCGGGCCGCTGCCTAGCCGGCCAATAGGCGGCTCTCCAGCGCGGAGCCTGGAGAGGGCAGGGGATTCGCCACTAGCACCACCGCCTCCAGAGTTTCCCTTGTGGATGCACAGCCCTAGTGACTCCGCTCCTCCCGGCGCAGAGGGGCTCCAAGAGGCCGGAGGAGCGCACTCGGGACGGGATTTCCGAGGAAAGGGAGAGGAAGGGCGCCCCACCCGCTCTGGAGGGGTTCAGTGAACGATGAAGGGCCGGCGGCGGCGGCGCCGCCGAGAGTACTGCAAGTTCGCGCTGCTGTTGGTGCTGTACACGCTGGTGCTGCTGCTCGTCCCCTCTGTCCTGGACGGCGGCCGCGACGGGGACAAGGGCGCTGGGCACTGCCCGGGCCTGCAGCGCAGCCTGGGAGTGTGGAGCCTGGAGGCGGCGGCGGCGGGCGAGCGCGAGCAGGGCGCCGAGGAGCGGCCCGCCACGGAGGAGGACGCGGGCCGGTACCCCAGGTCCCGGGGCAACCTCAACGGCGCCGTCGGGGAGGCGGCGTCTCGCGAAAAGCAACACATCTATGTGCACGCCACCTGGCGCACGGGCTCGTCGTTCCTGGGCGAGCTCTTTAACCAGCACCCGGACGTTTTCTACTTGTATGAGCCCATGTGGCATCTGTGGCAGGCGCTGTATCCGGGAGACGCCGAGAGCCTGCAGGGCGCGCTGCGCGACATGCTGCGCTCGCTCTTCCGCTGCGACTTCTCGGTGCTGCAGCTGTACGCGCCGCCGGGGGATTCCGCCGCGCGCGCCCCAGACGCGGCCAATCTCACCACGGCCGCCCTCTTTCGCTGGCGGACCAACAAGGTCATCTGCTCGCCGCCGCTGTGCCCCGGCGCGCCCCGGGCCCGCGCCGAGGTCGGCCTCGTCGAGGACGCCGCCTGCGAGCGCAGCTGCCCACCCGTGGCTCTCCGCGCCCTAGAGGCCGAGTGCCGCAAGTATCCGGTGGTGGTCATCAAGGACGTGCGCCTCCTCGACCTGGGCGTGCTGGTGCCCCTGCTGCGCGACCCCGGCCTCAACCTCAAGGTGGTGCAGCTTTTCCGCGACCCGCGGGCCGTGCACAACTCGCGCCTCAAGTCTCGGCAGGGGCTGCTGCGCGAGAGCATCCAAGTGCTGCGCACCCGCCAGAGGGGCGACCGCTTCCACCGCGTGCTGCTGGCGCACGGCATGGGCGCTCGACCCGGGGGCCCGTCCCGCGCACTACCCGCCGCCCCGCGCGCCGACTTCTTCCTGACCGGCGCGCTCGAGGTGATCTGCGAAGCCTGGTTGCGCGACCTGCTGTTCGCGCGCGGCGCGCCAGCCTGGCTACGGCGCCGCTACCTGAGGCTGCGCTACGAGGACCTGGTGCGGCAGCCGCGCGCCCAGCTGCGCCGCCTGCAGCGCTTCGCCGGGCTGCGCGCGCTCGCCGCGCTCGACGCCTTCGCGCTCAACATGACGCGCGGCGCGGCCTACGGCGCGGACCGGCCCTTCCACCTGTCGGCGCGCGATGCCCGCGAGGCCGTGCACGCCTGGCGCGAGCGCCTGAGCCGAGAGCAGGTGCGCCAGGTGGAGGCCGCATGCGCCCCAGCCATGCGCCTGCTGGCTTACCCTCGCAGCTGGGAAGACGGCAACGCCGAGCCGTCCGAGGACGAGGAGACGCCGCCGGAGACGGGGGCCGACGGCGCCACGTAGCCCCGCTCCCGCGCGCCCGGGACGGATCCGGGTAAGGTGGCCCCCGGCAGGGTAGGGTCAGGAAAGGGTCTTGGGGAGCTTGGATCAGCCTTCAGGGGGAGGGGAGGGATGCCATCTCAGATCGATCTCACCCGATGAAAATAGATCCGAGCGGTAGGGGAAGTGCAGCTGGGAGCATTTGGGAGAGTCATTGGGATCTCTAGCATAGCCCCCTGCCTTCTCAGAGGAAGACCCAGAGAAGCGAGAGGTTAATTATGGCTAAGGCGGAACGCAGGTCTCCACACTACCAGTTTCCCCTATGAAGTAAAAGGTAGGATCGTCTGTGGAGAATGAGGAATGGGGGAAGGAGAGGGAAGAGGGATATCACGGGTCTGAGCAGAGTAGAGAAGGTTTGAAAGTCACAATGAAACTTGAGACTGGGAATTGACATGAAAAGTACAGGATTTCGGGGACCATATGAGGTCCATGATTATGACTTTATCTTGATGCCACTAGGTCCTGTGGGGAAACCTTTTGCAGCAGTGTTTGCAGGCACAGGGAAAACCAAAAGCAAAATTTGAGGGAAAGTTATTGACTCTTATCCTACCTACCCCTAATCTGTTTCATATTTCTCTGCCTCTGCCTCTCTGACGTGTGCAGACTCCGAGGCGTTCTTTCAGATTTACCAAACATACAGTCATAGGCCTCTCTTGCAACAGCTTTTGCACATGTGTGTGCCTCAGGCTCTGGTATACTGGCGTGGAATGGACTTTGCTTTCCCCTGGCTCGAGGGGTGGCTCCCCCCACCTCCCACCTCCGCCCCCAATGGCTGGCGCTCCCAGGATATTTGACCATATTCCGTTCACATCAGGTCACAAAAGCTGCCTGGTCTGCTTCCTCTAGTGCAGACAGAACCTCAGGGCTGGGCTTCCCTCACTCTGCCCGATCCACTTGAGAGATGGAACCTTGGATCGGCAGTAGCAGCTTTGACTGTGACTGCTGAAGGAGCTTTGTGAAAAGACATTCCCTTTCTGCCCCCCCGCTCATTTTTTTCTTTCTCTGTAAAGCATATATCCTAAGGTATCCTAAGATGCCAAAATGGGGCTTAAATGATCTCAAAATGTGTTCAGTGTCTGGGTCGGTCTATGGCCTGTTCATTGGGATGAGGGAAGTTTGTTCTACGTGATGTTGACCTCAGGAGTCTAGTTAGTGGCATGGGAATGCGATTTCCCAAACTTTGTGTGAGCTGGAAGAGTGCAGCCTTCTGCACTGTGCAGTCCAGAGGAGGAAAAGCAGTGCCGGGTGGGCGGAAATGACTTAAGTTTCCATTCATTAGTTTATAGTGTAATTCAGTATTCCTCTGGGATGAAGCTCTGAGGACAATAGTCGAAGACGTTAATGAAGATGGATTTTGTTGTTGTGAATAGATCCAGGGTTTCAGAGTGATTTCGGAAGCTGATTTTCCTCCTAGTGATCAAGTCGTTTTCTTAGTTTCTGTAATTGCTTAGGAAGTCTGTGTTCTTTCCTGATTTCCAGAGTGAAGGTAAAAGGAACAGGGTGACTTGTCACATTTTAACAAAAACATCCTTTCATCTGCTAATCCTGTATTTACAGATGTAACATAATGGGTCTCCAATCCTCCTTCACCGGTCTGAGGGAATGCCTCTCGAGGACAAATGGCTGCAGCATTTTATGGTTTTAAGAATTGACAATCTCCCAGAAACTCTGACTCTTTTTTTTTTTCATTTTTACTAACATTTGGCACTGACTGGGGTGAGGTAAGAAAGTGAATAGAGAGGAGGGTTAGAGGACACAGTCTTCATCCTCTAGGAGGTTAGAGTCTATGCACGTGACAGTGACTATGGGCCCAGACATCGGTGCTGCTGTTTGGAAGAGCCAATGGGGCTTCCTTTGCAGGGCTGCAGGGACATCTGGGAACAAGCTTTAGGCTCTTTCAAACTCTGGTGACTGAGCTCTTCCTCCCACATTTCTGCTGGAATTATCGGGCACTTACCATGTCACCACCAACTAGTGGATTTATCAAAATGCTTGTATTCCTGGTTCCGAGAAAGGTAATGTTACCAACCAACTGATGAGTTTCCAAAAGTCTGTCACACTCCACTCTAGGAATGGGAAGGGGATGGATCCTCAGGTGCGATGTGTTGAGTTGGGCATTGTGGATATATCATTACTGTGACTGTCGATGAAAATAAGCAATAAACAATCTATAATAAGAATAGGAAAGAGTTTCATTTGAGCCAAACTGAAGACTATAGCCCCGAAGACCGGAAGACAGTCAGATAACTCTGAGGAACTGCTCCAGAGAAGCTTGGTTTTCAGACCAGTTTGACATCTTGTCAGAACAAAGAACACTAAGCAACTCAGGGATCCGTTCCTTCAAGGTTTCCAAAAACAAACAGACAAACAAAACAAAACAAAACAGATCAGCACATACACCGCGAGCCAGTATGTCCTCAGCACCTGGGAAGGGAGTCTTATCATTGAAGGAGTACCAGCATGAGCGTCCCAGGAAGGAAGGCATTTAATCTTTATTTTTAACACAGACATTCTTTACTTCTGGTCAATGTGCCCTTTTCTTTAATAATTAAAGTAGAAGTACCGTGTACGTTTGATAGGCCACAAACAGGCTGTTTTAGTTAGCATCACATTCGGGTTAAATCAGGTATAAGCCGGAATGACTTCCCCATACCTCCACATGTGAACATTTCTTTCATCATGACATATTATCAGTTTTACAGATGAGAAATCAGAGATTCAGAGAAGTCAGGTACCTTGCCCAAAGTCACACCTGGGCTGCTGGGCTGCTGAGCCGAGTGTTAGACCCCAGAGCTCAGAATCTCTCCATTATAACACACCCTCACCTGCCCCCCCCTTTACCGTCCCCTGGCACCCTTTTGGCACTGCAGCCAGGCATAGTGGCTACTCTAGGGTGAGAACCACACTTAGCTTTATTACTAACAAACACTGAACAAACGAATAAAATATCCCTGAGCGCTGCCAACAGCACCTACACGGGAGAGCCCCTGACTCTATAGCCGGGCTCCTCATGGCTGTCCTTCGCTCGGGGCACCTGAGCACCCTTGGGGCACCCTCGGCTCAGCAGTGAAGAGGGACTGCACGTGAATTAACCTGAGCGACTTCTGGATGCTCCAGACCTGACAGCCAGGATTTGGCAGGGAGGGAGTCAGTGCGCTTTTTCAGGGCTGGGTGGGGACCGCAGCACCAAACCAAGTCACCGAGGACCCCAGGCCCTTTCCAACTTTTCCATCTTCTTGGCTTTCGTTCACCAACTTATCTTCCCACTGTCACAAGACGGTAGCCTCAACAAGAAGCATCACTTCCTCACCCAACCACACAGGGTTGTGAAAATGCAGAAAGGAAGGAAGGTGGTTACTAAGGGGTAGCGTTTTCCCTCATGTATCTCTCTTTCCTCCAATCTGGTTATAAAACCATCCCCAGAAACCCCTACCCCAGTCGACTTCCTTTTATGTCTCACCGGCTAGAACTGGGTCACGTGTTCTGCCCTAGCCCAGTAATTGGTGAAGGGGAAGGGGGTTGTGATGATTGGCTTAGACCAGTGCGTTCTCAGCCCTGGCTGAACATTACAGTCACCTGAGGAGCTTTTTTTTTCTTATGTCAATATTAAAAATACTCCATCCTCAGAGATTCTGATTTAATTGGTCTGGGGTGGGATCCAGTTATATAATTACTGTATAATCCCCCAGTGCAGCCAAAGTTGAGAGCCACCTACCTGGACCCGTCATGCTTCATCCCCTGGGCTGAGCCCTTGCCACTGGAACAGGATGAGGATGCAGACTAAAGTTGATGAGCAGCGAACTGTCTGCCATAGTCATTTATGTGAAAGAACTTGGAGCTGTGAAATACCAAGCAGCTGTAGGGTGTTAATATGGAAACGTCTTAAATTATTCACGGCTCCATTTATCACCCTCTCACATTCCTTCAAATGCTTCGTTGTCTGTATCTCCTTATCTCTAATCCATCATGGTACACTATCCACTACCATTCTGAACAGACTCATGTGCTGTCCTATCCTTTTCAGCAGGTATCCGTTTGACCTCTGCCCTTGGTAGGACCCAAGATTTCATTTCATTAGACATTTAAGACATCTTGGTCTTTGTTCTTCACAAGATAGATGGACCCTCTGATTGAAATTAGGAAGGGAGGTAAGTGCGTAACCGAAACCCCAACAATCAGAAAGTGTTCTTTCTAAGGAAACCATCCAAACAAAAAGAAATGAGCAGCCATCACCAAATCCCTAACAAAGCATTTTGAAAGTCATTCGATTTTAGTAAAGCCAAATGGCTTATGTATAAAAATCACTGAAAGGGAAATCTCTTGCTTAAACAGTAGTCTGTACTGCTAAAGAATAGGCTTTGTTAAACATTGTTCCTACCTAGAATTTCTCATTCAACAAAATTTGTTCAAATCCCTAATTGTAGTAAAAGAATGAAGCTAGAACACTCCCTAACACCATGCACAGAAATAAACTCCCAATGGATTAAAGACCTAAATGTAAGGCCAGGCACTATCAAACTCTTGGAGGAAGACATAGGCAGAACACTCTATGACATAAATCACAGCAAGATCCTTTTTGACCCACCTCCTAGAGAAATGGAAATAAAAACAAAAATAAACAAATGGGACCTAATGAAACTTCAAAGCTTTTGCACTGCAAAGGAAACCATAAACAAGACGAAAAGACAACCCTCAGAATGGGAGAAAATATTTGCAAATGAAGCAACTGACAAAGGATTAATCTTCAAAATTTACAAGCAGCTTATGCAGCTCAATATCAAAAAACAAACAACCCAATCCAAAAATGGGCAGAAGACCTAAATAGACATTTCTCCAAAGAAGATATACAGATTGCCAAAAAACACATGAAAGAATGCTCAACATCATCATTAGAGAAATGCAAATCAAAACTACACTGAGGTATCACCTCACACCAGTCAGAATGGCCATCATCAAAAAATCTAGAAACAATAAATGCTGGAGAGGGTGTGGAGAAAAGGGAACCCTCTCGCACTGTTGGTGGGAATGTAAATTGATACAGCCACTATGGAGAACTGTATGGAGGTTCCTTAAAAAACTAAAAATAGAACTACCATATGACCCGGCAATCCCCCTACTGGGCATATACCCTGAGAAAACCATAATTCAAAAAGAGTCATGTACCAAAATGTTCATTGCAGCTCTATTTACAATAGCCCGGAGATGGAAACAACCTAAGTGCCCATCATCGGATGAATGGATAAAGAAGATGTGGCACATATATACAATGGAATATTACTCAGCCATAAAAAGAAACGAAATTGAGTTATTTGTCGTGAGGTGGATGGACCTAGAGTCTGTCATACAGAGTGAAGTAAGTCAGAAAGAGAAAAACAAATACCATATGCTAACACATAATATATGGAATCTTAAAAAAAAAAAGGTTCTGAAGAACCTAGGGTAAGGACAGGAATAAAGACACAGACGTAGAGAATGGACTTGAGAACACGGGGAGGGGGAAGGGTAAGCTGGGACGAAGTGAGAGAGTGGCATGGCCATATATACACTACCAAATGTAAAATAGATAGCTAGTGGGAAGCAGCCGCATAGCACAGGGAGATCAGCCCGGTGCTTTGTGACCACCTAGAGGGGTGGAATAGGGAGGGTGGGAGGGAGACGCAAGAGGGAGGAGATATGGGGATGTATGTATATGTATAGTTGCTTCACTTTGTTATAAAGCAGAAACTAACACACCATTGTAAAGCAGTTATACTCCAATAAAGATGTTAAAAAAATTCCTAATTGTAAATTAATGTAGGTACTGTGTTCGAGCCAGAGGGCTAGAAGTTAGGATGGGGCGTGTGTGTGTGTGTGTGTGTGTGTGTGTGTGTGTGTGTGTGTGTGTG